CAACAAGCTGGCTTGCACCCACGTGTAACGGAGCTTGTCTGCTGAGGTCAAGCATAGCCCAGTTTGGATGTCTGTGAGCCGCGCGTGCAACCATGGGCTGGCTAGCACATGCTAGCACCTCATCCATGACCAACCATGGTCTAAACTGGGCTGCTTTCAGAACGTAGCTGTCAGACAGCTGATGCAAAGAGGCATTGCCGCTTGGACGCAAAGTGTTATTTCCCGTACCTCATGCGCCATTCCCCAAACAGACCCCACAAGTAAAGGCCACCACTCGGCTGGCGATGGTTATGCAAGGGACAGGGTAGCTGCCAGCATGGGCGTTCGAAGGTCCCTTGCAAGGCCTAGCCTAAACCCACTGGCGATCAGAGGATTAAACTCCACTCCTTACTAGAACTCCACTGCTTACTGGCCAGGAAAATGACGGGATTTACGGTCCTGCAAGCCTACGTCTAAGAGGCTCGTTGCAGAGGTGGAGGAAAGACTGTATGGCCCGGAGGCTTGGGCTTCGCATCATCTCCAGCCCCATATCGCGCTAAGCTAGTACGTAGTGGCTCGGGTTGCCCTCGCAATCATCTGACTGACTTACAGCAATCGTGACATGTGAGACAACAATGACAACTTTAAGATGAAGCTACGGCTCGCTAGCGGATGACTTGTTTCAGCTGTCTTGCCACCGGCGGACCTGAAAGATCGTTGGGGCTTCACCGCCTGAATTAGCTTGCTGGCCCAAATTGCGCATGTGGGACCTCCACTGGATGCATTTTGGGCGCCAAGATTATTTCTTTGCACTCGGAGGCCTTTGACCTCCATTGGCTGCTATTTGGTGTCCTCGTATCTGTCTTATTCTTTGTTTTCCTTCCTGCTCTCTGATCTCTTCTCTCTACTGGTTGGCGCATACGGACGGGGTGGTTCTCGCTGCGACCAACCTCGTGACAAACCTCAGGGGTCTCGCATTCCGCTCGCGCATCTGTCCTTAAGATCTAATAATCCCACAGAGGGTGGGGAAGTGTGGGGAACTAAACACAAACATATCATATCAGCTTTAACAGCATGCGCGGCAAGCAGCATAATATACAGTAAACATCAGTAAACTGTATTTGATGTTGCTTGCGGGTTTTTAAGCCAAAAAAACCTATGTCAAGTTATACTAACGGAAACCCCTATTTGGATACTTTCAAAAGCTTACCTTATGGGTAATACACTTTCACGAAACGGTGTTAGAGAAGTTTGTTGACCTTTTTCGTGCCCAAAGTGTCCGTTGCGTAAGAGAAGTTTGTTACTTGTTTCGAGCCGCAATATCTTTACCATTTAACTTGAGCGCTGGAAAAGAACGAGAAGTTTGTTAATTTTTCTGCGCCCGAAATATCCTTGGCAATAGCAGAGATAAGCCCAAAACAAATCCAATGGATGATTCAACTACGGGTGCAACGCTGAAGACTGGGTCTCGCAGTAGCAAAAAGGATGCCTGTGAAGAATGAAATCCAAACTAGGTCTGACGGCCGTTGAATCAAGGCAAAAAGCAACTACCAACAAAACACCCAAGTCCACCTCCATCACTCCCCCATGCTCTCGCAACACAAAACAATCAAATCCAGCTCAATCACTCCCCCATGCTCTCGCACCACAAAACAATCAAATCCAGCTCAATCGCTCCCCCATGCTCTCGCACCACAAAACAATCAAATCCAGCTCGATCACTCCCGCATGCTCTCGCACCACTGAACAACCAAATCCAGGTCATGCCCTCGCACCACAAAACAATCAAATCCAGCTCGATCACTCCCCCATGCTCTCGCACCACAAAACAATCAAATCCAGCTCGATCAATCCCCCATGCTCTCGCACCACTAAACAAATCCAGCTCAATCACTCCCCCATGCTCTCGCACCACTAAACAACCAAGTCCAGCTCGATCACTCCCCCATGCTCTCGCACCACAAAACAATCAAATCCAGCTCTCGATCACTCCCGCATGCTCTCGCACCACAAAACAATCAAATCCAGCTCAATGAATCCCCCATGCTCTCGCACCACAAAACACTGAAATCTTGCAAGGCCTTAGAAAAATGGAGAAATTTGTCATTCTTTTTGCCGCAGCCATCGTAATCCCCCGTAGATCCCTAACTTGGAAGTTGCGCACGTTGTCCACCGCCTCGTTCAGGTGGCGGTTGCCGCCGTCCCGTTCTAGAGCAGTAAAACTTTCATAGAAATTGCGCACGTTGTCCACGGCGTCGTCCGGATGGCGGTGTCGTCCGTCCCGCTTTAAAGCAGAATTACATGGTCAAAACGGGCCGTGCACCAACAACCAGAGTGTTTCAGTGGTGCGCAATGTCCTGTGCACCGCGCACAGTGGACACCACGCCCATTGTGTTCATTCTCATAATACCAGCATATGTGGGCTTACATGTCTCCACTGGCTGCTCTGTGGGCGACGAGATTATTTCGGTATCCCCCCCTCCCTATGGGGGGGACGTGGGGAGGGTAGGTAATAGGAATAATTCCTATTTCCGGGTTTTCAAATGGACATGGGGGGGCCCACCCCCTCGTCCGGATGGAAGCTGAATACGAATGCGATATTCCAGCTTGTAACAGCAACGGTTTTTTTTGTGGTAGAGTACAAAATGCACCGTGAACGCAGGCCCCAGGTCATGTCGTGCCCCTGCAGCGGGGCGCTTGCAGCACGTTCACCCTGTTATTCTTCCTATTTTGGTGTGTTCAGGCGGCTATTCTCCATGCTTACACAAGGGATGCTCGCGATCTACAGGGCCCGGAGTGATCCAAAGCACCGTCTAATCGTGGTAGGTACGAAATGCCCCGTGAACGCAGGCCCCAGGTCACGTCGTGCCCCATTTTGGTTGTGCAACTGCTATTTATTCTCTGTGTACACAAGGATGCCCTGGGTCTGTAGGGTACAACATGTCGTGTGCGTGGGGCGCTGCTTAAGCCCTGGCTATTCTTCCTGTTTTGCGTTTCCGGTAGAGTACGACATGTCGTGCACGTGGGGCATTGCCAGGCCGCTGAAATAGGAAAAAACTAGACATGATGATCGATTTCTTCCTAAATCCGACCCCCCCCAGCATCCGTTTAGACCAATGGTAAATAGGAAGAAAACGACGTATCGTCCCCTCCGAAAACAAGAGAAGGGGGGGGGAATATTTCGATGCACTTGGAGGCCTGGGAGCTCCAATGGCCGCTAATCCGCGTCCTCTTATCTGTCTTACTCCGTGTTCTCCTCTCTGCCTCGCTACCTCGGGATTCGCGTTCCTCGCGGGCATCGGTCCTTAAATCTAACAACTCCACTGAAGTGGAGTATGGCGCTAAAGTTATTTCGAAGTGATTGCCTGCTGCTAGGAGGTGCTACCACTGCTACCACCACCAGCGCGACACCACCAAAGCCACTGTCATCTGCACCGCTGCCACACACGGACCCATAACCGCCATCATCGCAACAACTACCACCCACGCACAAGATTCATGGCCTAGGGTACTAAGATTACCCCACTTCTTGGTTGCGAAGTTGGGGCATGAGCCCAAGTATATATTTTTTTTGCTACCCTCCAGCATCCCGCACTGAGCAGGTCAGGGCACCAGTATATCTGCTTGATAATTTTCGATATCACCCGAACTGGCAATGCCGAGATGCCGTCGGCAAAGTTCTTCGACTCTTTCCTGTGGCCAGAAGTTTCGGCGACAAAAACTCATCACCTATACAGGTACTATAGCCCATACAAGCATTATCATCGTCGCTAGTTGGTATTAGGGGAAGAGCTGCTTCCGGGAGTACACAGCGTTGCTCATGGAAGCTCGCTGCCAAGCGGCCAGTAGAGGTCGTGTGCATTGTTGACGCTTACGAACCGAACGAAGGCGATGTCACCCATGGAGTACCTTGGTGCTCACTTCAAGGTTTCCAGGGTCTTTGGCTGCATGCTTGGCATGTTAGGCGAGGAATGACGCATATGATTTCACACATGCTTTACAAACTACATCCTGCCCAGGAGCATGTTTGCAATGTCGCAAACCCTTACTTGCCACTTGGAAGGCATCGCGCAAGGAGGAAGAGTAATGAATGGAATGAAGAGAGACACCAAGCAGGCTCCAGGGTTTCGTGCCATACAATGGCCAGGGAGGAAGGGGAATGAATGGAATGAAGAGAAGGATGGAAGGCCACTCTATCAACACCTTACCCAGACACCACGCAGGCTCCCAAAACCTCTTCTAGCTATGGGCAAGAAACCTACACACTAAACCTCAATCCACAAGTTCGAACGGATCAGACTCCTTCGCGACCCAAAGGCAGCGAATACGATAGTTTCCGCTTCATCCCGACTGGTCCACCCACGATGACATCAGAATGAACCGTCTACTGCAGTTGCCCCCTTCCCATCGGATATAGCCTGGTTGAGGCAGGTTACTGACCAACAAAGTCGTTGTGCCAGTCAAACCTGAGTAGCCATCCGTTATGCAGCTTGAGTAGCTGGGTTGCTGCTCAGGAACTTATCGGGAAATCTTATCAACTATGCCTAAATTAACGGTAACTCAATTCAAGTTCCTTAGTATCAACGCAGTAGTTGTCAACTCGGTGAAACTAGCCAAGTACCAGCTGATGCTACTACGCACTCACGCCGCAGCCGTGACATCAAGAGAAGGGGCATTTGGAGGAAGGGGATGGGAGATGACATGTTTGTCTAGGAGTTGCGGGAGAGACTGGTTACATCCAGAATCTGACAAGAACCTGACCAGAACCCGAAATCCCATAGCATCATGGCAACGGCTCAGAACATGATGCCTGACATCAAGGAAACCGTGACGTAACCCTCTAGAGTGCAGGAAGGAATTTTCATGGGCGTGCAGCCCAGTTGGAGGAGTGTCTAGTACAAGCTCGTACGTGGCAATTCACACCAAGGCTCCTGAGGCACCAATCTCACAAGCCAAATTCTACATAGCCTACCGCCGCGCCCTGGAATGCCTGGCTGGCTGATGAAAGCCTTCGCGCAGACTCATTCCTCCCTGTTGCCTAGCAGCTGGTCCTCAATGACATTGGCTGGGGTGAGGCCGTTGTCACGGCCATCCTCTGTGAACTCCCCACAAGTACCCATGTCTGCCACAAAGCCATTCCTCAGAAGCCAATCAGCAGCTCCTTTTCAATTTGAAGAGCTTGCAAGATGAGATGCAGACTTCTAGCTAGGTTAGATGCATCTCCTTTTGCACTATCCTGCTTTTCTCATCCGGCCTGCATCAAGGCACAATCCCACAAAGCCTTGTAAACCTTTGGATACACATGCCTACTGGCCCTTCTCATTCTCAGAGACCTCCATCAAGACTTGCCCAAACCGACAACTTCATCGAAGCTGCTGGTTGCAGTCAGGAGTCTTGTCTCTCTCCAGATTACGAGGTCGCTGATTGTCCAAGTAGATCCTTCGAGATCCGCAAGGTTTGGAAGACAATTCTTTTCAGGGCTCCTATGCCATGTAGGGCTTCTGGGCCAGCTGCGTTGGGGCTTAGAAGATGCGAACCCAGGTTGCCAGCAATGATTCGGTTGCAACGTGTTGAGGCACATGAGGTTGACTTATTCTGACGAATTCAATCCAATCAGCCAAAAAGAAACATGTCCCCTCTGCTTTGACATTTCATCCAAAGCCTCCATATCAGAAAAGAATAGCAGCAATCTACTGGCAAGTAACAATGCCCGAAATGCTCGAAGGTCATTCCCACCGATTCAACCACATGCTTGTTTGCACAGCATTCTGACAGAAACACGCGTTGCGACGGCAAAGCGGTCAGCTGAACACCGGTCCCGAAGCGGTTGTTGTCGTGGCAGACCTGGGAAAACGAGAACTGATGGCAATTTGAAGCCTTCTTCAATGCCGTTGGTGCAAGCTTACTGGCGCAGCTGGCCGGGGAAATTCAAGAGTGTTGCCACCGTCTGCATGATGTGGATTTTGACAACCTGGACGTCAAGTGCCTACTTCAACATATGAAGTTGCCGCGTTCCTGTGCGGCACGTCAGATAAGGGTCGCGCGAGAATACTTTCAGATCTGCTGTTCGCAGAGACGGCTGAAACGGCATTCTAATCTGCTAGACTCCTAGACTCCACTTGAGGGATGTTGCACAATCAATGTTTGATGTTGATGCATGCTGAGGCGGTGATGCAAATCCAGAACCCAATGGCCAAGAGACGTTTCCGCGGAAGATCCCGAAGGGCGTGTGCTGCGGACACACTTTACCCAGCGCCGCTCCCTGCCCGTTGAGGTAGATGGAGCCATGGGTCCAAATACCTGAATTCTGGTAGTTCTAGCGATTGAACAAATTCATGCCCTGACTCATGGTCTTGGTCTTTTGTGAGGAGCTTTAGGTGAAGGAAGAGCCCCAAAGCGCGCGGGCTTGGTGTTCAGGATCAAGCGAAGATCACTGTTGAAAAAACATGCCCAGTGCCTAGTAATTGGATGGTGTAAGCCTTTGAAATTTCATGCAGCTAGAGCATGGGAACGCTTTGGCGGATGCCCTTTTACGTCTGCTACAAGGCCTTTATTACCCGACGTCTCCGTGCGTCCGTTTAGAGGGCCACTGGGACACCCTCGACCCGAAGCTCATGATCTTAGACCTTGAACGCCTAAATCCACGTTGAAACGCTCAAACCCCAAGCCCCAAACCCTGTACTACCGTGCCTCATAACCCCTAAACCCCTGGACCCGAACTCACTGATAGGAGAATGACAAGCAGCCACTGGGCTGGCTGTGGACTAGGGGCCTCTCGAAACACCGATCTCCAGTTGAAGAAGTATCCCCATGTACGCTTAGCCTTCTTTTTTTAAAAACCACTTCACACGCCTTTTCTGGGTGCAAGCCTCAGCTAGGGGAGGATTTGTACTCCAGGGCCTAAGCGTTCAAATCCTAGAGATTCCTGATAAGGGCTTGGATGAAAGGAACTCACTAAACTAGTCCTACACAATCATGCCACGACTCGAAAGGCATGTAGTTCTGCAAGCGAGCGGCAGTTCTCGAAGCCCGCCACACGATTTTCAATGAGATTGTTGGTCATCCCAATCCTGGATGTTATAGGCTTATTATAGGGTTATTCTCGGGATATTATGGGGTTATTCTAGGGTTGTTAAACGGATGACGGAAGAGAAAATGGAAACTACTATTTAGGGTTATCAGAGGCATGTAAGTAGTATGACTGCACTTAAAGCTAGTTCGGGGTATTAGGCTTCCCCTGCACCTTGAAGTGGGACAAGATTTTGGAAAAGCTTGGGCTGCTGCAACCCAGGGTGCATTTTCTGGGAGTCCCCATAATTGCATCTTGAAATCAAAAGGAGAAACACACTGTTCTGGAAACATCCACACATCCCGCTGGAAGCTATGCATGCACATCGAACCCAGCACTTGCAAGCTGCAACCACTATACTCAAGAGTGGCCTGAAGCCTGAAGCAGGATCGACTAGTACATCCCGGCAAATCCGGACCCTTGAAGAGAATCTGGCCAAGGCTCATGTAGATTCCAGCAGCATTGTCAAGCTGCACATCCCAAGGCGTGGAGCATTTCTGATGTTGAGAGCAGATGATGACGTTGTTGCCTTAGACATCCGGTGAGTATTGTAGCTTTATATGTCTTGCAGAGGTCTTCATCCGTCCCAGCAATTACAAATGTGAGGCTCAGCACTCGTGCTGCCCAGTACTGTGGTTTCAAGTCAAAGGTTGATGTAAGTGTAGATAGGCTCTTGCGAGGGCATCGATCATGGCCATGTTGCTGGCACTCGTTGCTAACGGGAAAATTAATGGAGGAACAGACTGAGCAGCTCTCCCGGAAGCTTGACTCTCATCCTCAAGACAAGGGTGCTGATCGTGTTGAACATCTCATTGCCGTCCTCAATGTACACACCTTCAAGAGGCCGCAAAAACACACAAGCACGTGTGCTGCGACACCACAACTTAGCAATGTACGACATGACAAAATTATGATGGCTGACAACTACTCCTACTCTATCTACCTGCTCCTACTCCTCCTCCTCCTCCTCCTCCTACTTACTACTACTCCTCCTTCTGCTCCTCCTACTACTATGCTGAATATGACACTTTCTGTGCCAAGTCCTTGTAACATCCTACTGCTCTCAGTGCTACTGGTGCTGCAAGATGTAACCCCCTCTTCGTCCCCATCTTTTCCAGGCCTGCTGAGGACGTGTCCCACATGATGTTGCCCTCGACCAGCGAGCGGTGCGTGCCTGATAGCATCTTCCACTAGATGACTTGCAGTGTCGTACCCCTAGACTCTTGACTCCGTGGAACCCAAAGTCCGTTGATGACACATTCCGATAGGCCCATGAGCTTCTAAGATTGATCATGCCTCGCTTGATAGCGCCTTTTTCCTGGGTCCCTGGGTCAAGCATGCTACTGCTCTTACTTTGGGCTGGACATTGAGACCCTAGTTTTGGAACCTTCTTATATCTATGTATTGACTCAGAACCCGTCGGCCAGGTTGCCGTGAACCGTAATGCCGATCTGAGCCGACCTCGGATTTGGTTTGCACAAGTCAGGGCCACGGAGCAACTTGAGTATGCTAGCCGGTTGGTCAAACAAATCTGAAACCAAGACAAACAAAGATAGTTCAGCCTGAGAAATTTCAGGTGGTATCGTCCCTTGATTCGGGCGGTCTAATCTTATTAAGCTAAAGTCTGGGTCTGATTGTCACAGCGGTACCTTCACCGGATGCGGAAAGCTCAATCTGCAGCTTTGCATCCTGCTGCAAGCTGTGCAGCTGAGCAACTGGTACACAGCGTTGCCCTTGAAGGTGCAGTCCGGGCATACCCCAGCGTGGTGGAAGTGTAGGCAATACTTCCCCATAAAGTTCCGCTGGCCACCTGACAGATGTAGACAGGTATGTGCTCCAGTCTTCCTTGCTTGGCTGACAGACTCTTGGGAAGAAATCCTTTGCAACTCCCAAGCTGCAGAATCAGCAGGCTGTACTTCTTCCAAGGCCCCGGCAGTACTCAACCCGTGCAAAACGAACGTCCATGACGCCGCCGTGAGCACTGATGGTATGGAGGCCTGGCCGAACACGAAAGTGGAAATGGTATGTACATTATTAAATATGATCTCCAAAGAGTTCATGCCTATACCATGAGATGATCCTTGCATGAGGAAATTCATTCCCTGCACAATCCCGAAAGTCTTGGTACAGTCGAACAAGCGAGCTGGACCAGTGTGGACTGAAGTGGGGCTGTGACTGTAATCCTTACAGAATCCTGAACCTCAGACCCCAAAGGATATCCCCCTACCACACGCAGAACAGAACATCACTCCATGCAAGCACAGCCGTTTGGCCTTTGGCCGTCATATCGAAATCATCATGGTCTCCAGTGATGACAATAGATCTTTGCAGGTTCACCTAGGCAAACAACATAGAACTTCGAAGGCAAATGCTAGCTAAATGGTTTCGGAAGCTGGTATCCGTTTTTACCGCCACCTGAGCATCCAAACAAGCACCTGACCTGCAGAGTTATCCCTTTGGAGGAACTGGCCCCAAGGCTCGTCGCGTGCTGCCTGGCCGCTACTTCCGCGGCCATCTCAAGCGAATAGCCCTCCACCTGTCATGCGGGCAGATGATGCTGTCTTGCATACATATGGTGCGCACGCAAGAACAAGTCCATGATGGCCAGCGGTAAAGCCTTGTCTCAACCTGGCCATGACCGAGCTTTAGCCAAACACCTGTACGTCATAAGCGTATCTATGTACAGCCGAAACCCCCAATACTGCGCGGCAAGTCCCATTTCAAAAACGTACTGCTCCTCGCTATGTGGGCACCCCATCTCAGACGCAAAAACACTTGATCATGATGCCGGGAAGCTGACACAGAACTCTGCTTGTCTGAATTGTTGCGTCCGTTCCGAAATTAAATTTGCCTGAGACTCGCCTGAAAACCCGAAGCACTCATAGACCTTTACTCCAGGAAGGAACCAAACTCCGCCAGAACTTTCCCAGCACGATTGTTTAAATGGCGAAAGCTCAAGATCTGGGCTGTTGGGAGTGCTCTTAGGGATTCCACCAGCGCCTCACGGAAGCCTCCCCAATGTTCAGCTTCCAACGGCGAATCCAGATGAAGAACCTGGGCTCTGAAAAGCTAATGCCCTACTTTTCCGCAATCCTCGATTTTCAGCAACCACCTCCACTCACCCACAGCCGCCGCCAACCCCTTCTCTCTTCTCCCAATCCACCTCTGTCCATCCAACCCTCCCGTATCTAGAAAGCTATGAAGCTCTTATGGCAGTACATGCTGCATAACGTATTAGAGGCAGGTGTATAACCATAATAAGAAGCAAGGAGAAGGAACCAGAAAAAAAAACGCAGGAACCACAACAAGCAAGCTTACAAACGGCTGCGATGAACGGCATTTTTTGTAGCTGCTCGCTGCTCAAAAACTTCTACACCACTGAACTCAGTCAGAGCAGCACCTGGTGGCAGCCCCAGAATCGAATTGGTATATGCGAGAATACCTAATGACGTAAAAGTCATTCTTGTAAAGTGGATGGAAATAACAAAAATTTCCCGTGCCAGAAAAATCCTGAGATTTGGTATTTCTAGTTCCCGAAAGCACTGCGAAGGGTTCCTCGCGAAAAAACGGTAGCCTTGCATATACCACAGCACTTACACCGTTCGCCTACACTACGCCGCGTCACCTCTTCTATTTTCTCTTTTTCCTAAAGCCGGAGTAGGTTTGGAGCATGTAGGCGGAGCGAACCCTCTGCGGGTTTCGTCCGTGACGGAGCACTCTCGTTGCGGCGCCGTGCGAAATTCAACGTCGTTTGCCAACCCTCTGCAGGTTTCGTGCGTGTCGAATCGCGCCCGCTGTGGCGCCGTGCGAATTCTCAACTTGGCCGGCGAACCCTCTGCGGGTTTCGTGCGTGTCGAAACGCTCTCGTTGTGGCGCCGTGCGAATTTCAACACTCGCACGAGAACCCTCTGGCGGTTTCGTGCGTCTCAGATCGCTGTCGCTGTGGCGCCGTGCGCATTATCAACGTCGTCGGCGAACCCTCTGCGGGTTTCGTGCGTGTTGAACGCTCTCGCTGCGGCGCCATGCTAACGCGGATTGCGAACGTTTTGGAGTTTTCGAAGCCCAAATGCCTCAAAAGAGATACCCCACCTTCCTGGAATCAGCTAATTGGGAGTGCAGGGAGAATTCTCTCACTAAAAAAGCAGCAACCCGCCGTTTTACAGTTTCCAATGTCCAAAAGCTGCAAACTGGAGACCCCCACCACACACCCTTAAAAATCATTTCATTGGTTGGTCTCTCTGATTGCCGGTTTGAGTTTTCGAGGCCCAAAAGCTTGAAAATGTAAACTCCGACCACCCCCCCCCCAATCAGCTTGTTGAGTGGATTCTCTCATTAGCATGCATGTGACTAGCCCGCCCGAGCAAGCAGGCAAACACTTGCATGTTCACTCACGCGTTGACTGACTGGCTCCCTCCCTCCGCTCCTGCCCATCCTACTTCAGAGGTCCTTTCGCGCATTCAACTGCTTTTACTCGCGCTCTCAATTTTTGCTCGCTTTCTCAAAAAAGTGTCAAAAAAACGTGAAGGCTAGCTGGTGTGGGAAAATCAAATGTCGAATGTCCCACAAAACGCACATGCTTGGTTTCTCCGGGTTTGCTCGCTTTCTCAATTTTTTGGAAATACGAGAAAGCCAGTTGACTTGGAGAACAAATACGACTGTGGGAAATCCCCCTGAAGTACTTGGCTGCTCTTCTCCTAGTCACCATCGTCGTCATCATCATCATCATCATCATCATCATCGTCATCACGATGTCGTTGGTTGTTGCAAGCAGTTAAGGTGAGGTCGAGCATTCATCGTGACTGCAAAGGCACCTGCCAGCTGGTACATCCCAGACTACCCGTCACACAAACGTGCAGCCACTGAGTCTCCCTCACTATCGGACTTTTTTTTTGGGGCGACACACGAGGAAATTGGTATTTCCCAAATGGCAGGTGAAAGAGCGAGTGAGGCGCAGGCAGAACACCAGTGACGACAAAAATAGACACTCAGACTATGCTCAACACAGCAAACTCGCCACTAGGCGGCGAACAAACAAACAACAACGGACATGCATAAACACTTTATTCCAGCGAGGACCAGCTCAGTCGAAAGTATCAGCCTCCAGCATTTCGGGCGTAGCAGCAGCAGCAGCAGCAGCAGCAGCAGCAGCAGCAGGCCGCGGCATCTTTGTAGCCAGGAAACATTGACCAAGGTTGCATTGACCTCCATGCCATAAGCTCTGACCTGGTCGGGCTAACTGAACTGCACCTTCACAACAACCATCTTATTTTCTGAATCAGAACATCAATACTGTAGCCCTAAACTACTTGCTATAATAAAGAAGACATGGTAATCATTGTCATCACCGCCAGGGTTGCATATGTGGAAAGCAGGAAGGATGGTAGTGGCACAATGAGCAAAGCTCGCACCTCGTAGAGCCATACCCCAGCCCACGCGGGATGCCATTCATCACGGCTGGACCTTAGATCGAGGTCTATCTCAACTGGCAGTGCCTTCATTGAAGCCAGACAGGAATTACCAAAAAAGACTGGATAAGATTGGTCGACGTTGTCGAGGGGAGACCTCAAAGCATGAATGACGCTGCCTGTCTGCCCTTTTCCAAGGGGTCGAAAACATGTGTTTCCTGCATTCCCAAGCTAAAACCTGGCGGCGATCTTTAGTTGGAGCCAGTGCTTTAAAACTGGAGGATCATGGCAAGGGAAAGATCATACTCCCCTCTGCTACTCAGCTGAAGTGCAGGCTCTTGTAGTTGGCAGTCACCCTCACATGCGTTCCAAAAGCAGAGCCCATGGAGACTTCCTGCAGAGCACGGTGGCATTATCAAGGTTGCCCTGCTAGTGGGTCAGGCCTGTGCGTGTCCAGGTCGGAGGATAGCATGTGCTGTAGTCTTGTGACTGGCAATCATTGGACATGCCAATCTTAGGGGCCAATGGGGTCAATGAAAGCGTCTCAAATCACACATATTGTTAGATCCTTTTCCGGGACATACCGAGACCCGCTAATTTCGAGAGACGAATGACACAGTTGCAAACCATACTGTAGGGGCCTGAATGATTACCGACATCATGTAGAAGGTCTATTTGAGGCACCATTAGGACCAGAAATATTGGCAATTAGTTTACGTTGTACGGTACTATCCTACGTGGCCTCGTTACGAGTAATCTAGTCTCCCTTTTCTCACTAGGCAGCTTCCGTGCTCACATGTTGGATCTGCTGAGAGAGTAAACTGTTAAGTAATGCTTGATACTGGGGGAGGAGGCTATCCAAGGTTTGGTGGGAAAGGATTGGAGCAAAGCAAACGGTTAGAATGAGACACCATGCAGAACTCCGAGGTGTCAAATTTATTCCCTAAGCCTGAGGAGCTTACGCGTGAATCCTTCTGCAGCTTTTACCCTGGAAGCTCAACTCTGAAGTCTCTGATTTACATGCCAGATCGCTGTCTTTCAACCTTGCGTGTGCACCAAGATATTTCAAAGAAGAACCCCCCAAAGACACCTCTGTCCAGAACAGGCTGGGAACGCCAAATCTGGAACCTTTCCAAGCAATGGCACTGGGGCGGATGGAGAAAGATCTAGGAACTACATCAGGAAGTACTCAGGCTAGGATACACTCAGGCTCCTAAAACTTCTCAACGGTCTGACTTTCTGTCTGCGGTCCTGCCAGCCACCCCGGTCCCACTCCGTGCGCACTTGCTTGCAGGCTCCCTGGAAATCCTTGGCTTCTGCCAAGGACGACTGATGAGCCACACCGCAATCGGCATTTGAAGATTCTAGCTCCTGCAGGATTGTTACTATATGCGCAGGCTTGGGCTTGAAGATGTGCCTGGATCACAGGCTGCAGGCATTTCTCAACAGGCATAACAGGCACACTTGTGCCAGCATCATTCTTCTTGCGGTTGTTCTTCCCATTGCTACCGCTGCTATTGCCAGAATTCGTCTTGGGCTGAGAGGTGTAGGTTGAGGGGCGAGGATTTGGGATGTGCAAACCGTAAACAAAATGTCTCATACACCTCCAACATCCTCCAACCTATTCAGCACATCTGAAAGCGTATTATGATACCTTAAGTCCAAAGTAGCGCTGGTCTAATTTTTGGGTCCCTCCTCGGGCTTTGTTGTGAGTTGGACTGCGTCTTTTGGATGTATGAGGACCACCCTTGTGTGAAATTCCCACACCATGACAAAGGCATGGAACCTTTCAGAAAGTCAGGATGCCAACTTAGCAGCTTGCTATACTGTGCTGGCCAACCACAAGACCAACCTTCCCCTTAGAAGCTAAAAGACCGTCGCCTGCATATCAACTACGAAAAGACATGTTCATTGCAAGCCTCACTCAAAGCAAAAATCGTCAAGTCTTGTCGGGGTGCAAAAACACTAGGAACGTTGAAGCCCTGGCATCTTGCATGGCCGAAGGGCTGGGTCAGTGCAACTAGTTGGACAAGGCCCCTCGCAGACTGCCACCTGTTTCATGGGAGCTTCGGACCGCGCCTGTGTTGAGAAATAAAATTTGAGAAGCAGGACGAGGACTTTCGAAGCTGGCGACAGCTTTCGGGGATGTTGAAGGACTCGCAAACAGGAAGTTCCAAACGAGGCGGCGGAGCTGTAAAATTGCAACTCGCACGCCATTGTCATGGAAAAGGAAGGTGACAGGTCTACCGCCCTTGGCACCTAAAGCCTCGCCCAATCAAAATTCTGTTCAAATCCTTGTTGGTGTAACACTTGCGGCGCACCGTGTAGATGGGCGCGTTGCGGTTGTAGTCCCATAGCAGCTGCACCCCTTGGCTAAGAAGGACTTGAACAAGAATCACAACAAGCACTAGATTTGATTTATCCTGTTTTCACCACAAGCTCCTCTGACCTAAATTTGAGACGTGATAAAGTCATTTTACGCTTCAGGGCTTCATACATAACTGGGCGCAGACTCCGACGCACACTTCCTGAAATCGATAAGGCATATCGGTGCTTCTGGGTGCGTGCAAGTGAAAGGTGTACCTTCCCTGCCCACAGAATACGGGCTTCGGGATAATTTGCGTACGTTTTGTCTTGTAACCATACGCGGACAATGAGGGAGTACTACTAGTGATTTGTCACGTACCACTGCCGTGTCGCGGTGAACATCACTGGGAGCCGCAAGCTGCACTTCGAGCCAATGCTCTTCACCTGCAAGGGAAGGGGCGGCAACAACGTCAAATGATCAGCCCAGTTCCGACATTGCAGATCCTCCCGGAACATATGATCAATTCCGCCTATCATTTGGCGCCTCTCTACCTGTGACACTGTGGGGTAGCTCTGCCGTGCATTACTACGTTAACATCGTTACTGTTTGATTCGATTGTGGATGCGTGGATGGGGACCCGGACCTGTCCGATCCCGTCACTGCTGATGCTGTGAGATCCGGCAACCATGTCATGCTCCAAAACGATGGACGTTACAAGGATGATGACTTTGGGGGTGGGGTGGGGACCACCGAAGGCAACAGTTATGAGGACGTCCACACGATCGCGCGCGATCCCTTTGACTGCTGGGAGATACCACATGGATGGCAGGGCCTGCCAAACCGAGGACAGAGACCATGCGCACTTGTTTGCCAAAGTTACTCGCTGGTCGTTAGCGGCAAGAAGGAATGGAAGAGAAAACCTAAACTACTTAGTTGTCGGAGAGTTTATAACGGGCTACCATACGGATCCGTTCCTCCATTCCCTACTCATGAGCAGTAAGATCAAGCCTGCATGCTCGAGTCCTCTACTCCAGCAGCTTTCCTGAGAGAAAAACTTTGGCTGCCCCAAGTCATAGAACGCAAGCCCGTGGAAGCTGGCAACCAACAAGGACTCTAATCCCGGAAGCCCGGAAGCCCTGAAGCCCGGTTCCTTTAACATTCTCATGTTAAACACACCTCGGGTTCAGGTCAGGTCTGTTCTGGAAATGGAAAATTTAACCAGCGCAACGCAAGACAGCTGCGAGGCGGAGTGAGATCGCCTCACCCAGACAAACGGCAGAACCGGGACAACAGGAATGGCCAAGAATTGTTAAAACCACGATAACCATAGCAGGAGTACTGCCAATCACCACAAACCCTTGCATATTGGCAACGTACTTCATACTGCTAGTAAAGGTGCTACTATTTACTGCTACGCATGGCAAAGACCACAATCACAACAACTTTATGCTTTCCCCGGCCCCCCTGCCTGTGCAGTAGGGAGCACACCAGCTCGACCAGCGAGTGTTCTCTTGCCTGGTTGGGGTCGCTTTCCGTTTGGATGAGAGCAGAATCGGAGAACTCTTTTACTTGAAAGAAGCCTGCACTCGGCGTAAGGATACAAGAAGCAGCCAGGTCCAACAAGGCCCAAAAGGATGGGATACGGATTGCATGCAAGTTTGCATGAGTGCGAGGATCGCACAAGACTCGTACATAGCTCGGTTCCCTACCTGCGACGCTGGGGTCGGCATCCTCAAACGGAAGCAACTGGACCCCACCCCCGTCTGCTTGAAGTCTTGACGCCCAGCACAATCTTTTGACTTGAAGCCTATGACACCCACAGAAACTTCGCAGGTCTCAATGTTTTAGGTTGCCCTCTTACATCTCTCACCATATGACCGACATTTTCAAATGGGCTTAAGCTGATGTTTACCTGTCCCCGACATGGGCAGAGGTGTTTTCCATGAAGTCACAAATCCTTACAACACCTTACTCTCCAACGTATTGAGCCGCGCGGCCCATCAATGGCATTGGAAGGATGATCAAATCGTTCGACGCCTGTAGCATGCAAGAGTCACGACGGTCTAAAGGAAGAGGGGATTCCTGCATATCCGCCACACGCGTCGGTGCGGCAGGCAGTGGAGCGACCACCAGAAAAAGTCGCAGAAGGCTGATGGTGTCATCCCTTCATGCCTAAGATCTAGGACAACATACCATCAAGTTAGTAGGGACCAAGCAGTTCGAAAGCAAGGCGTCACCTTCGAACACCTGATTCTCATCATTCAGGCTAACATTTGGCAATCTTGGAGTAGTTTGCCAGCATGACTGTTAAAGAATGCAGGTTTGGCAGCACTCCAACTTCTTGAAGTTGCACATGAAAACGAAGGAATCCTTATGCAAGCTATCTACATCCTATCTGTCATTCGTGTCACTACAACTACTACACTTGTTGTCGCGGGTGGTGCTGCTGCTGGTGCAGCTCGCGCTGGTGGATGGGTGGCAGCGGTTGTCGTCGCCGTCTCCATGGTCGT